TGTAAAAATTGCAGTAATTTGCCATTTTCTGGCAGATATGAAAAATTGAAAGTTCTTCAATTTCCCTCGATTTTATATATATTGTAGACCTATCCAACCCCACACATTTACGGAAGTCTCAGCCATGAAACAAAAAATGAAGAAAAGTTAGAGTACTTCAAAAATCGAATAAAAAATGACGCGAAATGTCCAAGAAATTTCGCTATACAAAGCAGTAACCATCATGTGCTGTGCTGAGCGCGCATTATAAGTTTTGGTCTGCTGTTACAACATATGTTTTTAGAATATATGGAACTTTCTCGTGATATCTTTTCTCCATAAATTTAAATGTTATTGACGTGCTTATTTTAGATCAAAGATGGTTGAAATTTCCGGGTTTTCCAAATTAGCCAAAGTACGTCTTGTGAATCGCCAATTAAAATATGGTCCTACCTTCTTTATAAATGTACATATGCATAATTTGTTAGGGCTAGGATATAGTCATTCGACCATGATTTCAGATGTTTGGGATTCCTTTGTGTCTTGGAGAAATTTGATCTTAAACATGCATGTACAATATTAGCGTAATTGGTGTTTGGATTTTTATTAACCGGCGCGTTACGCTTCCAGTATCTTACGCTTGTTTTATTCAAAAAGTTAATATGCTTCACTGTAAAGGACACTGAGAACACACACTTAATGATTTTCTTTGCATTCAATTTACTTTGTCTATAATATATGTGTATGTATATACACCCGACGCCAGAACAAGTCTAGTTCACTCGACAGGAACAGCTTGCCAACACAGGGTGGATGAGTTGTGACATATCGTGTTTTCTTGTTTTTGAACAGTTAGTAGTATCAAGTTAAAAATGTTCACAGATTCTCCTCAACATCACTAAACTAAACTTCAAGAACCCCTTTCCGTTTTGCTGCTGCCATTCTTGAAAATGCGCTCCGTATTTGTTGTGCTGACAATCATTCGGACGCTGAAAACATGCGTTTACCATCCTCGTTTCTTGCACATCTCATGTCTACTGAAACCTGAAGAGGATTGACTTTATTGCCAGTTGTCTCACCAAGTTGAAACTTCTCGATCAAATACTGCTTGACTTTAATGGAAAACTTTTTGGATTTCTCCGATTTCTTTAAAGCCCATCCCCGAGGTACGTTCTTCCCTTCGATAAGTTGAACTGCAGAAAGTTGAACTCCAATGCTAGCATGATCTTCCGCAATAGTTCTTGTAAACAAGCCCGTCCACTTTTGCTTCACAATATCCTCAACAGGCTCATTTTTTGGTTGGAATGTACTGTATGCTTTTCTGCCGCGATGTGTCTTTGTAGTCTTCCCCAAGTAACATATTGCTTTACACACTCTGATTCAGGACAATGAAACATTGCTGACTTATCCATTGTAGTATCCCTGATTCCTTCATTGTCCTCTTGATCACGAACATCGTGTGTTTGGGCCTTTTTAGATGGAGCAGCAAATACGTACAACAACTGAGAGTTCTTGAGGAAAGCATTGACTGTTTTTGTCAAATTCATTCCACTTCAGCAACTTTCCATTTCCTATGTCAAAGGCCTTCCAAACTCTCAACCCGTTGGAATCATATTTGAAGTTACGTAATAAGCTGATTTCAGTTATTTTCGGGACCTTTGTGCTGGAAACAGACACGCCTTCTACAACATACGGCACAACGCCTTTCACGCCATTGTTTGACTCAAGTGCTCGATCGTTTGATGTCTAGAGGGGTCATGACGTCATTACCCTCATCAAGATATCTAGTCACATGGGATTTCTGATGAGCAGAACTCCTATCACATGGCCCCTTTCCAGCTTGTGGCTCAGAAAACTCGTTTCACCTTACAGACACCCCTGTGAGAGTCTCCATATGTTCAATTGGAATGATAACATTACTTGATGCATATGATCCTGCGCAGTCGCTACGATAATAGGCGTCCTTTAGTTCTGGATGCTTTGCCTTCTGTTCTTATAAGGTATGACACATCAAGGCAGCAACTAGGTCACTATTCTGGCCTCTTCCATGCGTTAGCAATTGTTTTTTTGGCTTGATAGAGTTTGTAATCAGTTACTTCGGGAAGACTTTTTTGATGTCATTATACGGCATAAGATCAACAATAATTGAAAGAATTTGGATTCTGGCCACCTTCGATTCCGATGCACCATACGATGCAATTATAGCTTCTAAATAATGATTTCTTGCATTGGCGATCTCTCTAGTGCATTTCTCCACCTGTCCTTTCATAAAATCGCACCAAACATCATCTTCCTGGCCAGGGGCAGTGGTCCCAATAACTGCCTGTACACCTTGATTAATCTTACGTAAATGTTGAAAACACTTAGTTAAATATTGCTATGTAATTTAAATTAAAACTTCGAGATGAAGATAAGGAAATACGAAACATACAATCGACTTACCTTTATGCTTCAAGAAATGCGTAACAAACCAATGTAACGAAATCTAAACTATAATGCACAAGTCTCGCTGCGTGCGTTTATTCACAACTTCGTTGAGAAAGTTACTTCCGGGTTAATAACAGCGTAGATTAATACAAATCAATTATTATTTTATCTTGTAAACAATCTTGGAAGTGGTACGCACTAGACCACGACATAATTCGTCGCACTCTATATAGAAACGATCACGCTTACCATCCTGTATTCTAACCTTTTTCAGCTCAGTTTCCATTCGACGACAACGTTTTCATTTGTACTGATAATTTTATAGTACAGTATTTGCATATCTGCATGAATGTGTTTTTAAAATTTGTGTATGCATGTGTGTTTCAAATTTGTATTAAAAATGCACGACCGATATTTAAGAAGTGAAGCGAGTGTTTTCAGTGACGACTACAGTAAACACATAATCGTTTTGAAATAAAATGTAAGAAATAAGTGAAAGATATTCACAGCGTCACGCTCCAATTAATAGAGACCTCACGATTTTAGGACGGCAACCGCGACGGCAACGGCTACCAATACAATAGATCATTGAAAAGAATTGTGTAATTACAATAAATGAATAATTTAGACATTGTCCTCGCTCTGTTACAACGCCAAATCACAGATTTTCACGTGTTGTTACAACGGCTGCATTCCAAGCCACAACAAGTGCAACTTCAAACGGGGTTTAGCAAAACTCTTCCCAACCATAAGACCCATGTCTTCAACTTCTAAGACTGTATTAAATTCATACTAGAAAATACGTGCATGCAGCAACCCCTCGCCTTTCTTAACAGATGAAGTATAAAAAACCCACATAAAGTATTAAGACCATTATAAACAAACACAAAAACACAACTGATGCCGTGATGCGCTAGCTTTATAATGAACGATAACATTCACTGCAATTTCATGCATACCAGCTTGCATTGAAGTGAATTATCGAGTTAAGAATGGCTTAAAAATTTTGCAGATATGAATAAAACCGACAACACAAAGCAAGTACGGCATGGCATTTTACTACTGAAATTACACTTACCCAAACCGGCACAACAACGATTAAATTATCAAAGATATCAACATCAAAACATCAAACCAGTTATTATACAAACTTTGTTTCACGGTTGAACAGCCACTAATTGATGAAACCGCAGGCTAATTAATTCCAGTTAAAATCGAGCGAAAAAAGTGTTGTGCTTTCTTAAACTTTTTAACAAAATTTAAAACAAATAATTGCTTGTAAAACAGCAAAATACGTCCTTTCAAAATGAACAGCAATTTACTTCGACAGATTTTGTACTCGCGCATACGCATAACGTCGAAAACCGTCCATGACATAAACAAAATGAAGGACAACTTTGCACTCCGCTATGTTTTCACATACCCGAGTATAATTAGCCGTGCGGAATTAGTACCCTCGCACGGCGCTTCGCGCCGTCGGCTCGGGGACAGGAGTTTGTTTTGGCCGTCGCCGTCGCGGTTGTCGTCCTAAAATCGTAAGGTCTCTATTACGAATCGAAGCACTCAATTAAGCTAATATTGTACATGTTTAAGATCAAATTTCGCCAAGACACAAAAGAATCCCAAACATCTGAAATCGTTGTCGAATGACCTAGCTCTAACAAATTATGCATATGTACATTTATAACGAAAGTAGGACCATATTTAAATTGGCGATTCACACAACGTACTTTGGCTAGTTTGGAAAACACGGAAATTTCAACCATCTTTGATCTAAAATAACCAAGTCAATAACATTTCGATTTATGGAGAAAAGATATCACGAAAAAGTTCATATATTCTAAAAACATATATTGTAACAGCAGACCAAAACTTATAATGCGCACTCAGCACAGCACATAATGTTTACTGCTTTGTATACGGCGAAATTTGTTGGACATTTCGCGTCATTTTTTATTCAATTTTTGAAGTGTTCCGGCTAACTTTTCTTCATTTTTTGTTTCATGGCTGAGACTTCAGGAAATGTGTGGGGTTGGATATATCTACAATATATATAAAATCGAGTGAAATTGAAGAACTTTCAGGTTTTCATATCTGCCACACATTTTGTGTTTCTTACGGTCAAGCTGTCTTAAGAAGCTGCTTTAAATTCTCTAAGAGCAGAAAATCTACATGCGCTTTATACAAAAATATTTTAATTTCTTAACAAGTCAATATGTAATATATGCATGCACCCTGTCAATATTTTACGCATTTTTGCGTTCAGCTTAGTGGTAGGGCATTCAAACTCGAACAATACGCCACCATTTCAATAAATTTTTGGATACCCTGTACATGTATATTGATTTAAGTTTTAAATTTCAAATCGGATTAGAAAAATAGTTACTAGTACTTTCTCGAAGCTCTTGAAATCTGATCTATTTGTCATATTTATACTAACAAATAATATACTGTACTTCACCTTTGGCTTTGACTGGATCTATGCAGATGTAATCAGGTTCATGTTGAATGCACAATAATTTCTTAGGACATGGATTAGCCTCGCATTTAGTCTAGTGAATATAAATATTAGTAAATCTCTAGTGAGTTGAACATGGTCCAATACCACGATACGATACGGATGGTAAATTTCATAAATCCACCATCTACCATCGATATTATTGTCGATTTGTATCCATTGTACAGTGCATCCTTACCAGTGGTACCGGTGGTAAGATATGGTTACGGATCGTGAAAGTAAGTTTACCAACCGTGAACCAAGGGTTATGGCAGTTGGGGTAGCCTTGAAAATAATGTCGAATGGTACCAGTGGTATCACTGGTAAGATATGATTACGGATCGTGAAAGTAAGTTTACCATCCGTGAACCAAGGGTCATGGCAGTTGGGGTAGCCTTGAAAATAATGTCGAATGGTACCAGTGGTACCACTGGTAAGATATGATTACGGATCGTGAAAATAAGTTTACCATCCGTGAACCAAGGGTCATGGCAGTTGGGGTAGCCTTGAAAATAATGTCGAATGGTACTTATTTATTTATTTAGCTTTGCCAACTAGGGCAGGGTCACCACAACAGCATATGCCAATTACTGTGGGCCCTTTTTACCTAACCCACCCTGTCAACTTTCCCTGTGGGAGGAAACCGGAGTACCCGGGGAAAACCCACGGCTTTCGGCAGAGCGTTGACTTTTTACTCTTTTCGCATGGGGACTGGGTTCGGGTCGCACTGAGAAGGTACTTAGTGAGACTCGAACCTGCAGCCTCAGAGGTGAAAGGCAAGTGCGCTAACCACTTGGCCACCGAAGCCCCTAATAATAATATATAACTTTACCATTGCAGGTAAAGTTAGATATTAGGACAACCTGTTTAAATCTAGCTCATGATGTTTTACCCTGGTGAATATGATTCAACCATATATGATTTAAAAATATATATTATGTGTTACTACTGCAATGCAACATTTGTCCTACCATAACCCTAACCCATGGTCCGTCTTCATACAGTGAAATGATTTGAACACAGGGCTTTTTTTAAGAACTTGTCTGGGGGGTGGGCATCTACAAAAAGGGACCATACTATACTGAGTGTGGAGAGATGACAGATGGTTGTTGGTGACAAAAAGTTTGGTGTGGTATTGTATGTATTGGTAGGGGGGGGGGGGTCTGGGGAAAATTTTTTTGTATTTTTCCCCAGGACTGAAATGTCAGCATTTTCTGAAACAGATTTTTGGATATACAGCGTTACATTGTGCTTTGATAGACCGAATCTGATCAGTTAAGTGTACTTGCATGGTATGTTTATGTAAATACCACAGCTGGGTCACATAGGGGGTAGGAAGCTTGTTAAACTTAGTGGGCACCACTCCCACAAGGCACTACCATGGTTGGCACAGAGCAGGGAAATTTTGAAAATTTTGAGTCTCTAGATCATTGGAAATGGCATTTTCAGAGTCTTCTTTTTAGCTATTTGTGATTATAGAAACCAGAACTCTAGACATGGTATTTAAGTTCAAAAACTTTTTTACCCCCCCCCTTCTCTGTGTTAAAACTTTGCTTGGGTAAAACTTTGTTTGCCCCCCCTCCCATTTACCACCCCCCCATAAATAATGACCACTCCCTAAGTAGCATGTTATTGTTGGGATCTCAGATGAATTTAATAAATATATAAATAGACATCTTCTTGTTTTATTGTTGCATCAATTTTAATTGGAAAAAATACTCACAAAGTAGATCAAGTGTATGGATAAATTATTCATTTACTAAAGTACATTTTTACAGTTATTTATGCGACCTCGTACCCAGAGTCCTTCCTCTTGGGGAGAAAAGACCCCGGTAGATGCTGGTCACGTGATCTGCTAAAATCTAGCATATTTCTAATTAACTATCTTGAATTCCTTTATGACAATCATATACAAAATGCAAATTATAAATTAACATATAAAAATCATCCAAATATCAAATATTTATTGACCTCATCTTGGATTGCTAATTAAAAATCTGCTAGATTTTAACAGATCATGTGACCAGCATCTACCAGGGTCTTTTCTCCCCTGGTTACAAGGTTGTTATTTATGTACTTAGTCTTATTTGCATGAGTGTACATGACAGATTGTTTTAATTAGATATACCCAGTTATATCATAATTTTATAACATATGGTTTGTTTAAAAATGCTGGAAAAAACCAAAAAAGTTAGTCAATTGAAATAAATGCACTAATAACTTGCTAAACATAGCTAATTGCTATTTATTATATAAAAACATCTGTCAACATACACTCATGCTTTTTCCTACCACCAATGAGTCTCCACTCACCAGGTTTCATTATGAAAATTTTTGGATTAAATCATGGGTGGATTTACTGGGGGGGGGGAGTTAGGAGGGGTTAACCCCCCCCCCTTAGAATCTCTCTAACCCAT